ACATGTCTGAATGAAAACTTTGCAAAGAAGATTAAGGACAGCATGAATCAATATTGACAAAGACCCTGAAGGTAATCTGGAGAGGATCAATACCTGCACTTCAGAGTAAGCTTGTATTTCGAGCAGAGCCTCCAACAAATTTTCATGGATATTTAAAACACTCATAAGAGGAAATTCCTTCATTAGCTGACAGAGAAGAAAAAGAAAAAAAATTCAGAAAAACAGCTACGTGTGGCTGCATTATATAAATTATGCAACAACTTTTGAAGTCTGAGATATCAGCTGACAGTTTGCGATGCAACCATTGGTTTCCCTGTGAAATGACGTCTGAGAAACGAGTTCAGAAGTTCCATACTGATTTTGCGGGGAAACCAGTGATGGTGTCTTAAAATTTTGGCTGTTTTCTCAGGCTACAACTTTTGAATAGGAGAGACATCACACTTTTTTAAAAAGTATTTGATTTTGGGCACTTTTAGGTTGGATACCTTTAAATAGCATCACTATGAGCAGGCGCGAATCCACACCGGTTTCCAGCATTTTACGGAAATCGGTCAGATTTTCATAATCTGTTTAATGTGAAAATAGACGGATCGAAACGCACCAATTACTGATTACGAGTCTTCATGGCCAATAACATCACGGCTTAACTGACAGACGACCAATAACATCACGACGTAACTGACCAATCAGATCAATAACCAGAGTATAATACCATCAACTGACGAGATACGACTCACTTTGACTCTAAAGATGACTAGCGCACAGGTTGTCGAAAGATCAGTCCCTGTCAACAACAACAGTCCTATTCAGGACTATGTTCACCTGGACGATCAAACTCAACCTACTTTTGAAATGACTCCTGGGTTCAAACCTTTCACAATATACTTTTAATAATAAAAAACACTTTCCAAGTTGAAACCTGGCCAATATCCTGCCTGAATGACTCGGAAACCCAGGAAAGGGCCTTTAAGGAGTTAAAATCCAAAACATTTCCTGGGGGAGCCTGCCCCTCGGACCCTGCTAGATAGTGCCTGCACCTTCGGCCCTCATTTAGGAAATCCGTCAGAATTTATCCTTGATCCGCACCTAATGAGTAGTATAACTGAATGTTAAAAAGAAACAAAGGAAACACCTACATCTCTCATCATTTTAATGGCTTCCTTGACTCTTCCAAGTTTCCGAGCACACATAGCAAGCCTTCGTCTTATGTAAACACAGACATTTGTGTCTCGTCCTGAGGATTGAAGTAAGTAAAGAAATTTGTATCACGGAAAACTTCTTATGAAGCCTGGGAAAGCAACATGGTAAATAATTGCTCCTTTAGACTAGAACAATATTTATTTACTACTGTTCTAGAAACAAGTAGCAGACTTGTTAGAAAGGGAGAAAAAATCTTCTACTGCAAGAGGACATTGATCAGGCATTGATTTATTCTTTTTGCCCGACAAATACTCCACCATTAAAGACCTAAAAACCTTGTCTTGTTGTTTGTCGCTTCACATAAGCATGCAGAAATTTTTAACAACACATTCAAGAAAGAAGCTCTAACTGCAGACAACTGCTTTAACATTGCCCAAGGGTTCTAAAAATCCCCAAGTACTTATAGACTTTCAAAAAAGTCCACTGACTTTGCCACTTGCTTGGCTGCTTCTTGGCCTAAAAAGCTCACTGAGGTCGACTTGTGGCAAGTCTAAACTACTTACAGAGCTAAGAATGCATGAGCGACAATTTTTTTTCCACTCACTATGTACAGCTTCTTCCTTAGTGTCTGAGTTAGCTGAAGTACTGTTCCGCAACAATGCTTCACTTGCCTTCAGCGCTTGTTTAAATAACTTTTCAGCCTAAGAGAGACATTAAGTTCAGTTGTGATCTGAAATAAAGTTAAAAGCCTTAAAATGGCTCAAATTTGTAATGTCATCTGCACATTGAGTAAGCTACTGTAAATCCTCTGTTAAGCCCCCGGGTGATTATTTATTTCAAGCATGTTTGAGTGGGGCTTTATTCCCATGATAAGGGGGTGGGGAGGCTTATTAGAAGGTGGGGAGGGGGGGGGGGCGGATGTTAATAGAGGATTTATGCTATTTACATTTATCAGTTTTTAGTCACCCACAAGGTTTCAGAAGTTATAATTACTGTATTTCCTCATGTCTAAAAAGATGAATTTCCCACCTCTAAAATAGTTTGAGCTTCCTCTTCAGCAAGTAAAATTAGTGCTGTTGGACAGCTGATTAAAAGAAAAAAAAATTAATTAACTTCAGTTAAATACTTATTATTTAATCTTAGTGTGGACCTCCCTGAAAACCACTCAATGTGACGGGAGCTTCCTCTGTAAAGATTATTTATTATTATTCTTATTAACCAACTATCCTGCATACACACCCGTACTGTAAATAATCTAACAGATGCCCAGGTAATTTATTTAATTGTAGGGCTCCAAGAGGAACTGTTTAACAGATAGGAGGTGTTTAAAACAGGCAGAAATTTATTCTCATAACTGTAACAAGCTTGACAAAATTAACATACTTCTGTACGTGAAAAAATTAAGAGAGTTAAAAAATAGGGGAAAATTCAGTCCACCAATTTATTTGCTGTACGCTGTCTAGAGATCCCCATACTTTTCCAACTCTTAGCACTGATGTCAGAATCCTTGCTCTGTGTTATAGTGCTTCCATCATTTAAGTCCTTCTTACTTTGAACTCAATATTGAACAAGATACAATATGCAAAACCTTGCTAATCAAGCAAGAAACTGAATAAATTGAATGATTTTGCTCCTTTTTGCTAATTCCTAGTTATCTGGAGTAATTGTCATAGGCGGCATCTATTAGACAGAGGGCGTTTATTAGATAAGAGGCATTTTTTATTCATTTTTATTTTATTTGCCACACAACAATAAAAAATAAATTACAAATAATATAGGATAAGTAGAAAAAAGAAGTGGCAAGGAGACCTAACAGAAACTAGGAGCTTATGAGAGGTTAGGCCTCCTTGAACTACAGGCTAGAGCTGTTTACATCAATTGAAGAAAAGAAAAGATGGCGTACAGTCAAAGATGGAAAGATTTAAGGCTGGTTTTCATATTAACTTAATAATTAAATCTTCAGTACTTTCTTAAAGGAGGAAAGGGATTGAGAGTTGACGACATCGTTGTCAAACGAATTAAAAAACTTAAGTCCTTGAAAAAAGGTGAGGACCTCTTACTGTTTGTTCGACAATATATCCCTTATTGCAGCAAATTTTCGTGACATGTAAATTTCGTGAATTTTGCAATACCAAAAAAAATCGCGAAATTAAAGTCACGTCAACAATAAGTGTTGCCAACATAACATGACACTAGTATTTTATAGTTGTACGACAATCTAAATACACATACCTACTACATATCAAATTATGAAAACTAAAAAAAGATGATTTGCAAGTCCATTAGTACCAAGTATGATTCACATACCTTGGATTAATTTCTATGGCTTGATGGGCTGTTTTTATTCTCTTTTCTTGATCTCTTTCTCTCCACGCTCTAAGCATTACTAAAATCAATCAACAAAGGTTCAGTTAAAACTACCTTACAATACCTTCTTTGAGCTCCAGATTCAGCGTTGGCTTGATTTACCCATCCTCAGAGACCCATGGGCAGTCAGTCGCGTCAGAAGAAAAGGCAGAATGAAAGTTTTCAAGCACGGGCGGAAGACCCCCTTGGTACCGACTCTTACCAGACCATTTCCAAATGGTCCACTGAATGCTGGCTCCTGACTGGGCACAAAAAATGCTTTAATTTGTATTATTGTGTCCAATCAGCAAACAGCATGTCCTGAGTTCTTTTCATGTGTTTGTACACAATGGCTATTGTCTCACCATACTTGTCCGATTTGTTCACCAAAGAAATGCACACAGTCAGGAAACTTTCAGTTTGATATAAACCCCGTCCATTTCAAAATATTGTCTACCTGACAACTAAAACATGGAAACATGTGTATGGGTATTTTAAAGACGCTTTTCCGAAAAATACAAGCTTGAGCGGCATACCACACATATTTAAACTTCCATTGATCACACCTTCATAAATGTTATTTACGATACCTCATGATCGGTCACAAACTGAATTTGCTCGGTGCAAATTGGAATGTTCCTACTGTTAGCATCCGAAATGTTTTCCTGTGTCATTGGTATTTCCTTCTTTTCTAGTTAGGAAAGTAGACAATGAAAGTTTCCCTTGTACGTACGCACAATCTCGGTGAATGAGCCGGATGAGTATTGGGAGACAATAGCCATCATGTACAAACACATGAAAAGAACTCAGGAGATACTGTTCGCTGATTGAGCACAATAAAAGCATTTTCATTAAAGCATTTTTTGAGCCTAATCAGGAGCCAGCATTCAGTTGACCATTTGGAAATGGTCTGGTGAGTCAGTTGGTACCCAGGGGGCTCTTCCGTCTGTACTTGAAAACTTTCGTTGCACCTTTTCTCCTGACCCAATTGATGACTGCCCCCGGGTCTCCGCAGATGGATTTACCAAGCTCTCTTCCTAAACTGAGATGACAGTTGAAAAATTAAGTTTTTCAAATACATTGATTTGATATGTTATATACTACAAGAATCATGCATGCTCCATAAGGGATGTTAGTGTATTTCAATTGTTTTAATGTTCTTGTGTGGACAGGTGGAAACAATTCGAATATGCTATGTGTAGATGAGTGGTTTTTGAAAATGGAGAAAAAAATCTCTGTTTTCAAAAACGTAAGGATACATGTGGATGTGGCCTTGATTAACTTGTACACTTATTCATAGTAGACTGAGGAACTTAACACTCACATTCATCCGAAGGATCGGCACTCTCGGCATCAGCATCACATGTAAAGAAAGTCTGAAGTCAAGAAAAACAAAAATAGTTTAAAAATAAAACCTTGAGAAAAAGCAAGTCAACTTGAAAAGCTTTATTTGTTTCACCTCACATCTTTCTATAGAACTCTTGTACATATATGTGATCAATGTTACTCAATGAAAATTTTAGACGATGCTTACTACAATCAGAAATTTTTCATGATGACCACAGAGGTCTCAATAGCAGCTGGTTACATGTCGCTAAATGTAATTTAGGCAAAGTTAACCTTGAAGCAATGCTGGTCAGCAGTTTCCCCAGCTATACTTGGGGTGGCCCGATGCCTCTGAATTATATATGCAGTTGCTTGCTTGCAGTTCTTTGAAAAGTGTTGTTGCAATAGCTTGCTGTTTGCATGCCATTTTTGCTGTTACCAGCAGTCTACTGCTGCCTATACAGCATATGATTTCAAGGAAAAGGAACCTTTTGGCTCCTTTCCTGGTCACAGCCATCTAACCAGTGGCACCTGCTTATGGAAAATGTTATTGAAACCCCCTGATGAAAATATCAATATTCTGTTTTCTGGTGCTTCTTGGAGAACAGAAGTCATAATTACCTGATGATCTTGTGCTGAAAGATTCATGTCGTAATAAGTTAATGGTTCTTTTCCTGTCACCCAGTAATACCTGTCAAAAACAGAATTTGATGGATACTTCTAATATGGAAAAATATTCAGGTTTCGAAAAAACACTGCCCCCCATTAGCTTACCTTGACCCCCTTCTGAGCCCCCTTACCAATCCCCTCTATAATTTACAGGAAAGGAGCTAATGACTTGAATTAACGAAAAATATTAGTTTTGATAGATTCTTGTGAATTTAAAGGTCAGCTTGTTATAAATAATATTCTTTGTTAGATCAAGTCATTTGTTCATTACCTGTGATTTACCTGTGATTTTAGAGAGGGTCAGTAATGGGGAGGGGGGGGGGGGGGGGGGGGGGGGGGGGGTTTTTTTTAAAAATATTTTATTTTTTATAGTTTTTTGTGATTATAAAGGACGAGTTTTTATATATAATTTTTTTTTTTAGTAAGATTTATTTGTGTTTTAGTGGGGGTTTTGGGGGGGGTTGGGGGGGGGGGGGAAGGGGGGGGGGGGGGGGGGGGGAGTAGGGGGTCAGTGTGTTTTGTTGAAACCCAAAATATTCATACCTATACCAACCTGGGAAGTCTTCATAGGAATTATTAGACCAATGAAGCAGAAATTTGTCGCAGCAAATAGAACAAAGTGAACAATTAGAGGGTCATTTTCAAGATATCTATCAGGAAGACATTACCTGTTGTATTCTGCGCCTCGGAAAAGATTGCCAGGATTTCTCCAAACTTTACATTCTGTCAAGGAAATGAATTTTGTTAAAGATATAAGTCAGTGGAGTGAGGAGTATGTGACAAAGTTGTGGGGGGCGGGGTGGGTGGGTGCACTGAAGAGAGGTATGCAGTGATTTTGTTACCTCTGTGTCCTGCATCCCTTATTACTACGGGGCAGGAAAAAAATTTGAAATCCACTTGCCCAGTGGGCAAGGCAAGTAAATTTCTGTTTTCACTTGTCCCCACTTATATTTTACTTACCCAAAGAAAACAAAAGGCAGCATCATCTATAGTTCTAAGGTACTGTCTATAATAAAATATCGATTATTAAAAAGTGTATAAGATTACTAGTACTAGAAGAACTTAGATGCTGTGCTGGAAACAGAGTAACTACTTGATTTGACCAATATCTTCAAGGGCTATCTTCAATCCCATGAGCAAGGAAACATTTTTAATTGCCCAAGATCAAAATTTAGTTGCACCAGAAAATTAGACCTGGGTTTTTCCTGCCCTGTAATAGACAAGGAATTGAACAGCTTGGAAGTTTGGCTTTATTTTCTCTTTATTTTTTGAGAACATAGCTGAGGGACGTCCCTGGCCCTCAGTCCCAGTGATTTTGTTACCTCTGCGTCCTGTGTCCCTGGTGCTTAAAAATCCCCAAAGATGCAAAATAATTCATGGCATGCATCCCACAGGATGCAAAGATCGATTGATTGATCTGAACATGTGTATTTTTAGATTGAAATATCCGGCCTGTATGTGTAATTTCTGAGGCAGTTATTACGGCTGTTGCATATTAACCTTTGTTGTGCTTTAAAATAGATGAGGACTATATTTTGATTTCAGTATACTGTGATACAGAGTTTTGGAGTCTATCTACAGATTAACTGTCTGGTTACATGTACATAAAGGCCCAAGCATTTTTGATTTTGGACCCCGTCTTTTCTGACTGGGACTTAATGATTCTGGACTGGCACCCACGATTTTTCACAAGATGAGTCCCAGGACTCACCATAACTATTTGTAACAAAATCACTGCAGTCCTTAGTGACCTGCATAATATGAAAACACAAAGCAAACAGAAAAAAAAAAAATCTAGATAAAACAATCAATACACACCTGCAACATTCTGTTGAGGATTTGTAGCTGTATTGTCCGAGCTACCCAATAAAGGACCGAGATGGGATAACGAAACATGTTCAATAAATGACGTACCATACTTCCGAAAGTACCACCATTCAAATATCTACATCAGTGCAACAAGCAAACAGTCAATTGGGAGAAGTAACTACAAATTTTCCAGGGATATTCAACAAACTTTACAAAATATGGCTATTCTTAGAATTCTTGCACTAATATGTAAGAATGTCTTAACCAAAAAAATCATCCCAAGAAAATTATTTCAAGTTGAAACCCCTTAACGTGAATAATTATATATTAAGCCCCCTCTCTCCTTTCTCAAATAAGCCCCCCCCTCCACCTCTCTAATAACCACCCCTTTTCAGGGAAAAATGTTAATAAGACCCCTCCCCTCCCCCTTATTATTCTTCACTAATAAATGATAGACTGTATTAATCAATCATGACTGTGAAACTTGATTTGGAGTGATCCGGGATGATTTATTCACGTGTTGGAATTTCAGATTTGTTTGACCCTTGGCTGCCTGACCTTCAATGTCTTGAACTTGAGCTTATCCACTTTGTATTCTAGTTCTTTATCGAGAACTGATACCACCATCTTCGCTTAATTAAATAAGCCCCCCCCCCCCCCCCCCCACCAAAAAACACCCCCCCCCCCTTTTATTCCCCCCCCCCACCTTTTTAGAAAAAAAAATCCCCCGTGGGGGGTGTTTATAAAGAGTTATGAAAAAAAAAACACAAAAAATCATAGACAAAAAAAAAAAAAAAAAAAAATAAAAAAAGAAAAAAAAAAAAAAATATATAAAAAAAAAAAAAAAAAAATATTCCGGGTGATTTATTTACGGTTTGGGATTTTAGATTTTTTTTGCCCCTGGCTGCCTTGCCTTTAATGTCTTTAACTTTGGCTTTTCCACTTTTTTTTCTAGTTTTTTATCGAGAACCGATACCACCATCTTCCCTTAATTAAATAAACCCCCCCCCCCCCCCACTTCAAATAAGCATTCCCCTGTCTCTATTAAGCCCTCCTCAAATGTGTTGGAAACAAATAGGCCCTCTGGGGTGTTTAATAGAGGATTTTCGAGAAAACTACTAGACTAACATTGCAGAAACTAAAGCTGAATAAATAATACAAGGGTAGACACATAAATGGATTTATCATTAAAATGAACACTCACAAGAATGATTCCTGATATGAATGATGATGTTCCAGTGAGAGCAACATAAAACTTAGGAGTCAGTGTGTTCAGGAAAAGGATAGCTGGAAAAAAAAGAAAAACTTGGTTAAGAAAAGAGCACAATGTGCCCTTGAGTCTAAAATTGTCTAAAATAATTTGCACATAACAACACAAAAAACTAGTTATATCGTATGGCTCCTGTGCAAACAATGCTTAATTGTAACTTAATTGAAAAAAAAAAACATTAAAAACCAAAAAATACTAGTACATCATGTGTTTTCTATCATAATTCATGAAACCAATAAAGAATGAGAACAGTTCAGCTGTATTTACTGTAGCAGATGTTTGCTCAAGTTTACATGGAAATTTTAACATTTTTTTAAAGGGTTCTTCCAAAGGAAAATTGAACTTTTATTTTTCTTCTTTGACCTACTCATTTTTTCAATGTTTACATTGTCATCATGCTTTTTTCAACATCATTGCCATCCATTTAATTTCTCAGTAAGTTCAGACAATCCTTTAGTGGAATACATCTAGAGGTTATATAATTATTTTACAAGATGCTACAATGTAGCTTGCAATTTGCCCTTGTAATTGTCATTTGAGTGATTCAACTTTTTGCAGTCTCCAAGTGATAGCTTGAAAAAGGCGATCACACTTTACTCTCAAGCTTGGCTTCTAACAGTCTTTATTATTCATTCAAAATATTTCCCCAATTCTGATTGGCTAAAAGCACATGCATAATTCACTACAACCAGCTACTGATGACCAAATTTGGAATAATTTTGCGTTTAATGAACCGATGACATCAAAAGTGCTGCTTTCTTGCAGCTTAATGCACCGTTAACTAAGAAGACCTGGGGACGAGGTTGAGTTGTTTTGGTTGTGAAAACAAAAATGGTAGACATTTCACTCGTTTCAAGAGTAAGAACTGGGCGAAATAATAACTAAAAACATGGCAAGAACAGCGAGAAGACAACTCGAAGGGCAACATCTGCTATTTAGACAATATTTGCGGAGCTGAACAACCCTAGACATGCACTATTGAAGATGAACTTAACATTGATGGATCAATGGAGGTAAGCATGTTTTAGCCATGTTTTTAAACTAGGAACATTGCAACATTGGGGAACATTTCAAAGAAAAAATTAATTGTTCACCTATTAATTTCAAGCCTTTTAACATTTACTGCTTCACACAATTTTATGATAATGAAATGTGACAAGCATAGAATTTTCTTTCTTTTTTTGTTTTGCTTTTTTTAAAACCGCTTCTTAAGGGTTGCTATTCCCAACCAGTCAAGTTGACCAACCAACTGAAAGTTTGTCAGGACAAATGGTCACCTTGGCCGGTCACTGTCTGTTGACCGGCTGTTATTTTCAGCCCTACGAGTGTGATCTTTATTTCGCATTATTTCTATGCCCAATTACCACATTTAAATAAACTTCTTGTAGCATTTTTTCCATATCATGGAGATCCTGTGATGCCGTTAAAAGTCCCGCATGACTTCTGATGAACTGCAAGATTTTCCTTGAAACTAACCTTGTATTTGCTTGTTATAAACAAAGGTAAAATTTGACTATAAATCAAAAGCCTTACTCCATGCACCTGTTACACTATCCTTTTTTGCATATAGTAATTTCTGGTTATTCTACATGAAGTGTTCTATAAAATGTTTGTTTCTTTCAGCGCTGAGTTTGGTTATAGCATCACCTTTTGCAAGTATATCATTCTATAAAGTGCTATTGTGTAACATTTTGGAAACATCACAAAAAAATTATCCTGTAAATACAGCTGCCTCTCATCATTTCCTACCATTGAGACACTTTTTGAGAGAGAGATATCTGCATTTTGAACCAAAAAATTTTATGCTGATGATGCACATTTGTCCAAAACTGGTCAGAGGCTCTACGATTGGTCTATGCGCACTGGCGTAGCATGCGAATGATGTCAAAGTGTCTAATTTGTAACATTTGTCCGAGTTTGTCATTTTTCTCATTTTAATGACAAGAGACAGGCAAGCATGACATTTTAATAACAAAAGTCAGAGAGGAATTCGTCTATGTTAATTTCAGTTTGTTTGCCTGAGTTTCGGGTCTATAAAATATAATAGTAACTGCGGGCAGCGCTATTATAGTTTTATAAGCTATTGTTTACAAATGGTATACAAAAGACAAAAGGTAAAAAAGATCAAAATGTACAAAGTACTGGATTTACCAAGAAACACTCATTTCCAAGGAATAATTTGTAATATTTTTACTTTAAAAAAAGCATAATACATGTGGTTTTGCCAGGGCAAAATACTTAGTTGATCTCAAAATGTTACGATACTTGACAAAGAGAAACAGAAACTCCAAATAAATTTGCATCTGGGAACCCATGACTACATGTACCAGATTAATAATGTAAACATTGATTTACTTCATTAGTATGGAATTTTTGAGGTCAAAATGCAGATGTCTTTTCCGCAAGAGGCGGCTGTATTCACTGGCTACAAATAAATAAATAAATAAATAAATAAATATTAAGTGTCATTACTGTTAGTATAAACTTGTGACATGGAATCCTATTCAGCCGAAAACGAATATCAAATTTAATACAGTGGATTGTTGCTAAAATAAACAAGCTTTTCCTTAGCTAGTGCTTTGAGCTTCAACTTACATGAAAAACAAACAAAAAAAAACCCCACAACTTCTTTGAATTAACCTGCTAAAGCGACTCTCACATGTTCACTCGGACACAAACGGAACCAACGCTAGACATAAATTACGAAGATCAATAGATCATCACCCAACAAATGGACATCACCGAGCGGGTTGGGAATGTAAAAAAATTAAATATAAACCATTTTTTCGTCAAGTTAGGAATGAGATAAAAAAATACTAAATGACAGAATTCTTATTCTGATACGCGGAACAGACGAGCGGTGGAACTGAATGCTGATCAACTCGAACAGCTGATCTCACAATGTCATGTCATCCGGTCACCCTTCTGTCATTTCGATTCGTTTTCTGAATAAAATTTAACGAAGCTAAGACGCGAAAACTCTTGAATCTCTACAGGGAGGTCCTATTTTTTGTGGAATACTGGAATTTACAAACGACAAAAATAGTCATTTTTTGGACTAAGATAAAGGAAAAAGAAAAAGAAAAGATGCGAACTATTAATGTTTTCTAAAATTCACGATAAACAATGACTTACCTAAGTTCAGATTTTCTTTAAGACGAAGGGGAGTACGAAGCACGTAAAGCAGGAATATGACAAGAAGGAACCAAAATCCCCACAAATAAGTCCACGACCATCCGATCCACTGCTTGATTTTACTGATCGATCGCTGAACACCATTCTGCTCGTCCGCCATTTTGGTTCTGTTAAAAATATAAGTAGCGCTTGCGCAGACTAACTGAGTTCCAGTCCCTGCACGGTTTCCGTACATTTGTACAGCTTCCCTGGCGGATAGATTGGCGGATAGTACTTAGTGTACGCCCTGGGCTGGGTCGTCCAAAGTGGGGTACGACTTCGAGAACGAGATTTCCTTTCAACACTACAGTCAGCCCCTGATAACTCGAACCTTCAAGAGAAATCGAAAAAGGTTCTAGCTATCGGGAGCTCGAAAAAAATAGCCGGGACTAAGAAAAAAACAGTTTTTACTGCATAGCGAACGTTTTAATCACATTTAATTGTAGAAATGTCAAGTGAAAATTAAAAGATACCTCTAGATTATAAATCAGAACGTAACATAACAAAATCTTGCTTAAATAGAGCATGATTTTCACTGTTTTGAGAAGTAAACTAAGCTGTTCCACGTTAGATTTGTAAGAAACAACATCAGCCTCTAATAGTAAACTATACTGCCTACAACGCGTCAATGGGAAATTCAAAATTCAATGTTTGGGACTCCAGTAGACTGTTTTTGCCCCACTTTTAAGGGCTCAAAACATGGTTCGAGTTATCGAGGGTATAAAAATTATATAGAAACGATCTGAGGGGAAACAAAAACTACTTCGAGTTAGCGGGAGGTTCGAGTTACCGAGGGTAAAATTACAGTAAATGAAATCCAAAGGAAATTTGGTTCTAGTTAGCGCGAGGTTCGAGTTATCGGGAGCCAACTGTAAGTAGTGCGCGCGGGTGAACCAGCTTCATTTTGGCGGGAAAACTTGGTAGCCGTCTAACCCGTCTTCATTCTACTACGACTGTTTCGCGATAAGGCGATAGCGAGTCGAAGTTTTACAATTTTTTCGAGAGGGGGCTTAACCTCCCTCAATAGAGATAACAGTACTATCTTTTCTAATGATTTGAAAAAAAGTACAATGAAGCCTTCTGGGGTATCTATTTTTTTAGAATACGCGAAAAAAACTTAAGTTAAATCTCGTACTCGTAGTCGTTTTCGTCCTCAAACTGTAAAGCTCTGTAATATAACCCAGAGTTAGTGCGAAATTTGAATTCGGATATAAAAGCTTCAAAAGCAAATTCAGTTTCATTTTTTTGTCTGCAATTTGGTGATTGGGTGCTCTAAAAAGAATAGGGAAAATTATCTGAGAAAATACTTTGAAACGAAAGAAAAAGAGACCCGTATTAAAATTTTATCCCCGGATTAGTGGTAACTGGCCTTCGAACAACTTGGCCCTAAGGGAAAAGCTGACTTTTTGTGACTGTACGATTTTCTGTCGATGGGCCCTGGAAATGATGTATTGTAAAGCTGTAAATGGTAGCCTTCTATTGGGTGAGCTAATTGTAGCGAAGAGGGTCGAGTATACAGGGCAGCACAATGCACCACCCTGATTTTTTCAAATTATCTCAAAGAAACACCCTCCCCATGACAACTAAGAGTTCCGACAAACGACACGGGAACGAGAAACTCTCTAACTTGCTTGTTATGCTGCTAAGACTGCTAAGAAAACTACTCTACAAATTATGAACAAAACTTATTTTAAAGTGTATAATGAGTACTTTATTGCGCGCACCGTGTCCCTGACTAAACTACGTTGCTAATTGCAGATAATCTTTATCGCGTGTTTTTAGGCTTTAACGAACATCAGAAACGCGTAATATTACTGAAATCGAGCATTATATGATACTGAGAGTATTCAGACTGTAAAATTGCCAGTGATCAATCCACTCACGGTAGTCCGGATTTTGATGGCGCCTTTGATTGACTATACACACAGAAATTTTGTTGCCAATCTCTTTAACCGGACACAGAATTTTTTCGCCAATCTCTTTAACCGGGATTTGCGGACCACTAGAAAGCTTCGTCATACTGAGTTTTAACCAGATTTGTAGACATAACGATGTAGCGCATACGTGGACACTTAAGTGTTGACGTTTATTCCACTTAATGGTCCAACGAAGACGCCATATAATTTGCTCGTTAATGATGAACAAATTCTTTTTTGGGAAATACTTGACTTACGATTCTCAGTTCTACTTGACCTACCCGGTACTTGAGTTGAAGTTGCATTGTGGCGGCTTGCTCATATCTTCAACCAGGTGGATAATAAGCTCAGTGTTGGCATTATTCGATTATCTTAAAGCTCATTAAGTACCCACCATTTAGTACATATTATATAATCATGGTCAAACAATTGATCAAACAACTGATAAAGGCTATAATGAGAGTCTGAGGGAACCAAGTTTTCGAGCTAGTCACGTTTTTCCACTTAAACTGATTCGACGATGGTTCAATATTCCTGAAAGGTTATTACTCCGATCGGCATTTCATGATTAACGAACCTTTTGATAGTTATCGGGAACACCTACTCTCTGTGGATCCAGTTAGCGAACTACGATAAGTAGAAATGCGTCTTTTCTCGATTTTCAGAAACTTTTACCATCTGCAAGTACGAAAAATCTTTTCGAAATTAAACGGCCGACAATTGAGTCCTTAACGGAGTAATACCAGGGTTTACATCTAAAAAAACCGCTAAAATCAAATGCTATATATATATATATAGCTAGTTAGTGACGTTGGGCGAGTGTTCGATGAATGGTGCAGAAATGGAACAAACACGAACAGGTCTGTCTGATCATGAGGGAACTTATCAGAGAAAATTTCCGGTTTTCCGTGCAAATGGTGAACGTTCCAGTTCACAGAAGAATGCACGCAAGAGAAATCTAGGAGAGTAAACAACTCTAGTTGGAGTAAACCTTTTTCTATCCATCGTTAGTTTTAAAGAAATTTTGTTACTGTGTTTGTAGGAAAGTGATTCAAACATTTGGTTTTATTAACTGAGAGAGTTGAAAAAGTCAGTTAGCCGAGCTCCGTTACGCCGACGCCGAGCCTACGGTTAATACATCACGAACTGCTTTCCTATCATCCGCGACATTATCATTACCTTCATCGTAAACTGAAATAATACCTGGCGCCTATGCAGATCCCACGCCGACCTACCGGTCATATAGCCGACGACGCTGCGCGCCCGCGACACTTCTGAACAAGAGCCTCGTAGGTCTTTACTGTCATAGGAGCGCATGACGCGGCATTCCTGACCACCTGCATTCCTGTAGACTCCGACTGTACTGTATAGGAGTCTAGCATCCCTGTGAAGTTGAACTCGACTCAACTTCACAGGCATGCCTGCGGTAAAGACTGGAATGGGATGGCATCTGTTGCCAGCGTCTTCCCGGTTCTCATTATCGAACAGCCATCCCAGGTTGAGTACCGGCGGCTATCTCGCAGGTAGGTCAGCGGAATATGTGAAACAGGCTAAAGAGATTAAAAAAAAAAACGCGCACGTTTGGACCGCTAACCCTTTACCAGAACCGAATCGTTCACGATCTTTGAACGTTGGCCTATCATCTTATCAGCTCTAACTTATGATAATACAGTCAATCCCCGTTAATACGGACACTGAGAGCTACCGAGGGGGCTATAGCGGAAAGTGTTCGTATTAACGGGATGTCCGGGTTGAATTTAGATAAAACCAACGTGTACGGACTTTCTTTCCCAAAGACAAAGCTAACTTTCCGTAATAATGAGGTGTCCGCATTAAGCGGTGTCCGTTAAGCGGGTTTTGTCCGCTGTTCAATTTTATAGTTTTCATTGCAACAGTGTACACGTGGCGGTGTTAGTTCCGTCCGGTTAGAGCCAAGGCCCTGGTTGTTCAAAAGCTGGATAACCCTATCCACCGGATCATGAAATACTATCCAGTGGATAAGTATTTGGACCACCATTAGCGCCTTCCACTGGTTAGCACTGTCCATCATATGAGGACTAAGGCTTGGACTGCAAAGCAGGAGGTAGCAGTTTCGACATACCTCCGTGGCTACGCAATACTCTCCTAGCAGAGAAATTTTTTTCCGGCATGGCATTGTTCGCGTCGCTGACATCCAGGCGTAGTTTGCTTTCTTTCGGGTCAACAAATTCGTGTAGTTGGCTTGTTACTCTGGGGAAAGTAAAAACAAGCCAACCAAACGAATGTCAGCCACTGGGACGACTTCGTGGCGAATCTTCTGCTTGCATGGTATGTCTTCGCCTCACAAACGGGGAATGACTGCGTATATAAAAACCATTTGTAACGGTAGACCCGATTACCTGTTGAAGACGTAAAATATTGTCCTCAGTCATTACTGTGTGCTAAATACAGTATTTAGAGGCTTCAATAAAGTAGGGTTCCCTTCTTTGCCTTATACAGCCTTATATACAGCCTAGTTTCGTCCAATCTCGTTCCCAGGGCCTCCTGTTCCTCTCGGCCGTTGGGATATTGGCACGAGGACTTGTGTGAAGGCCTTGAAGGCCCCTCTTGCCCTGACTTCCCATCATGCACCAGTTAAACGCGCGCGTACGACGAGCGAAGAGGTAAAAAACATTCTGGCTTCGAGCGTATATTGAATTCGGCTTTCGTAGGATATGACAGGAGCCCATAACCTTCTGGATATGAAGAATTATGCAGATCTTGGAGGCCGTTATCCACCTAACACTCTCCTGGATAAGACCTCGGCCTGAGATTTCCCTGTAATGACCTCACTCTCGGTTAATAAGTAGTATTTATTTGTCACTTGATTTTGTGACTTGATAGCGGTTTGATGGTCGAATAACCTAATTAAAATTTTTTACTAGAGGGGCCAGAGCTAACAGCAGGTTTTTTGTGGCCAGGTCATGGCTCATGGATTGGTGTCTGACTGTGTGTCCCTTGCTTTTATGCTAGGTGTTTCTGATTGAACTTATTGACACACTGATTGCAAAAATGCAGCCGTCCGGTGCATGTCATGCCAGAACTGCCGTGCGGTTCGCAGGCAAGGCCGTAGCTTTACACGAGCATCACGCTTTTTTCAGTGTACATTTCTTTGCCGTCGATCAAGCACGACTGTGACGTGATATTTCCTTTTTTTTACTTGTTATGCAGAACGTTAACACAAGAC